TTTATTAAATATTTACATCCAGTGGACTAGATGCCATATATTAAGAAACATGCAAATGTTTGACATCTAAAATAATATCTGAACCTAGAATTACTGCCAAAGAAGGTTAAAAAAAGTCTCTGCGCGGGATTAAACGGATGGCTAAAGTGAGGCAAAGGGCACTAAATCAGGTACCTGATTGTAAACACTGAGAACATGGATTACATGAAGCTCATCAAATACAACATACTCCTGTCATTTACAGCAAATGAGTTCTGCAGCTAAAGTGAGCACTAAATCAGGCTTAGATTACATAAAACCCATCAAATATAACATATGTATTATACTTATATGAAACATCTATGTGGTGAACTTTAAAAATGGTCTGGCATCTTTACTTTACAAACATGGGCATAACACAAAAAGACCACAGCAAGAACATTTAAGACATCAATCTTGAAGACCCAATGCAGTTAGTATTAAGCATAATCAAAGTGCAAAAGAAACATGGATTTCACAGTTGAGGTAAAGTTGGTTTTACATTCGCACATTCCAACTTTCTCCTTAAAAATATAACATCAGAAAAGTAGTCTTTGCTTACTCTAAACAGGGAAATCCTATTGGCTGCCAACGAATATCAAAGTACAACATGGTTGATGGTCAGTTAAAGAGTGCTAATGTTGTTTTGAAGTCATACTTGGATGCTATTTCAGACCGAATATTCAAATCAGTGTAGTAAACAACATAGGAAGCATGTCACAAGTTGTCACTGAACGAAGGTGTGAATATAAAACCAACTTTAACTCAATGATTTCACAGAGATGAATCCAAATGCCATTAAAAATCCCTAACATTGTTTTTTTTTTTGGGGGGGGGGGTTAAGTTTCATTCACTTTCCAAATGTATTCCTTCCAAATTCTAATCAGGGAAATCATATTAGCAGCCAAATGACCACCAAAGTAGAACATTGTTCAGAGTCAATAAAATAGTTCTGTTAATGTTGCTTTGAAGTCACACTTGCATGCTATTTCAGACCGAATATTCAAATCAGTGTAGTAAACAACATAGGGAGCATGTCACAATTTGTCACTGAACAAAGGTGTGAATATAAAACCAACTTTACAGCAGGTCACCAAGTTTACCTCAATGACAGAGATGAAAACAATATTAGGGATGTTTTGATGCCCTCGATTCATCTCTGTGAAGTCATTGAGGTAAACTTGGTGACCTGCTCCCTATATTGTTTACTGCGCTACTTTGAAACAACATTAGCACTATTTAATAGACTGTTAACTGTGTTGTACTTTGATTGTCATTTGGCTGCCAATATGATTTCCCTATTTACAATTTGGAAGGAATAAATTTGGAAAGTGAATGAAACTTTATCCCAATTAAAACAATGTTAGAGATGTTTTGATGCCCTCTGGATTCATTGGGGTAAAATTCATTCACTGTCCAAATTCATTCCTTCCTAATTCTAAACAGGGAGATCATATTGGCAGCCAAATGACTACCAAAGTACAACATTGTTCACAGTCAGTTAAATAGTGCTAATGTTGTTTCTTACTTACAGACCGAATATTAAAAGTATTGTGGTAAACCATATAGGGAGCATATCACGAGCTGTCACTGAATGAATGTGTGAATATAAAACCAACTTTACATCAATGATTTCACAGAGATGAATCCAGAGGCCACCAAAACATCCCTAACATCGTTTTTATTGGGGTAAAGTTTCAAATTCATTCTTTCCAAATTCTTAATATTGAAATCATATTAGCAGCCAAATTACTAGCGAAGTACAACATTGTTTACAGTGAATTAAATAGTGCTGCTAATGTTTTTTGAAGTCACACTTACATGTGATTTCATACATAAAATATTCAAAGTAGCATAGTAAACATAACCGTGTCGCAGGTTGTCACTGTTCGAAAATGAACGAATGTGTATTACTATTGAATATAAAACAAACTTTACCTCGATAGTAGTTGTTTTTTTACTAAATGGCAGGCCAAATAGTATCACTGAAGAGCAAATTGGATTGGACACACAAAAGTAAGCTACTTAAAGCTGAAACCAGCAGAGAACAGCGAGGTAAATACACTGGCAGGCAGAATAACACAGTAAGAAACATTTAACATAAACTCTGAAGCCAAGAGCAGAATATTAGATGATTTCAGCAGCTTGATGCCTTAAAATAACCCCGTCTGGCCCAACGCATCTATTCAAAACCACCAGTAGATGCTCCATATTACACTGCACGCCAAAGTCTACATTTTAAACACTGGATTGTCCGGTGTTTATATGCATGACTTAAATCCCTTAAGATACATCCATTCATATTTGTTTCTATTCATCAAGCTATCTGTATATCATGGCCCAAGTGTCTCAAAACCTGCTTAGTTACTTACACAGACATCATTGTAAGCATTATAGCGCATTTACAACGTTCAAGCAGCATTTAAAACGTACAGCGTTGTACTGAACGCTTCGAGCAAGTCTAGGGCGGTCAGGTATGTTCTCTAGAAAGGCAGCTTAGTAGGTTTTGAGACACATTCACTGAGTTAATATCCAGCATGTCTGTGTTTCGCAATTTGCTGAATTAGACACCCTCACAGCGAACATTTGTGACGCATCTGCAGCTATGGTGTTGATTATATGTTGGTTAATTATAATAAACACCGTGTGCGTATTTGCAAACAATATTGATTGTGAATAAGCACTGAAACTACCTTCCAATTGACTGCAGGGATCCTCCTGTCAACCTGGAATTCAATCCTCTTCTGGTCGGTCTGCTGGTACAGCCTAACTTCCTCTGAGGCCAAGCAACGCCCTAATAAGATTTTGACAAAGCGGATTGGGCAGTAGTAGCGTTCCTCCCATCCTAAGCTCGTATTGTGATTGGCTACTGTTCCGTACGCAACTGCAAACGTGTGAGATGATTGGTGTAAATTGGTAGCTGTTTCGCCTTGCCGAATTGAAGGCGTTTATTGGTTTGCGATGAGGCGGTACCCGTTTACTGGGAGTTAACTGGTCGCGAGAGTAGTCGATCCTTGCGTCGGATTGACAAGGTTGGTTTGACTGCACAAACGGAAGGCTTGTTTGTCTTGTGATTGGAAGTTTACTTTGGGTACATAAAGTGACCATAAAAGGATAAAGTTTGCACATTGTGATTCGCGAAGGAAGACGTCAGTCAATGAGACAAAACACATAAGGTGATGCTGGATTTTTCAAGCTTGGGGTTAGTCTAGTGACCCCCTGGGTGGCCTAATAGGAGTCATGTTTTACAGCTCGAAAACATGTAAAACTTTTGATTGGCTGTAAAATGTAATGTATATTAATTATAGGCTAAATAATAAATATTAATAAAAATAAACAAATACATAAAAAATAATCCAATTACCATTACAAATAAATAAAATAGGATTAAAAGTACATGATAATTGATAAAATATATAAAAAAATGTATAATCGATTAATACATTAATGCTAAAACCTTCCTCGTGTTGGCGTGGCTTTCCTGCAGATGTTCCGGTTTCCCCAACAAGTCCAAAGACCTGTGCAATAGGTGAATTGGGTAAGCCAAATTGTCCGTAGTGTATGTGTATGAATGAGAATGTATGGGTGTTTCCCAGTGATGGGTTGCAGCTGGAAGGGCATCCGCTGTGTAAAACATACGCAGGATAAGTTGGCGGTACATTCCGCTGTGGTGACCCCTAATTAACAAAGGGACTAAGCCAAAAAGAAAATGAAGGAATAAATAATGTTAAAAAAGTCATATTTGATTTATTTACCATAATGTTTAATTCAAAACCTTTCAATATTAGTTAACGACGATAATATATAATGCTATCAATATTACATATTATTTTATAACATCCACAATATTTTGTTTTAATTTCCTCAATTTTACACTTCTTAATGTATGATATAATTTATTCTTATTTTACTTCCTACATTTATGTTATATAATATTTAAATAAATATATTTTTAGTAATTAAAATAAATGTAATATTATATTACACTAAGTCATTTTAAAAACATATTGACTTAATATTAAAACAAAAATCAGGGACAAATGAGTAATTTCATAAATATATTCTAAAATAATAACAACAACAATATTGTTTAAAACAGATTTCAAAAATAGTATGACAGTCACAGTAGGATGTGCGATAATCTGGATGATGTAGAAATGTATTAAAGAATGAAAGCAAGTGAACAATGGTGCTACACAAAACATGATTCAAAGATGACTCCTTATATTTACAAAATTTTTTGAGTTAAGTGGTTGTAAACAATTTATTTGGGCTAAACTTAAACAAACAAAATAAGTTGAGCATTACTAAATTTCATTTGTTGGTTTAAATTCAACCTTTATAAATTGTTTGCAACAATTTTGCAGACATCATCTTTTCAGTGTACTTGCGAAATAGTTTACCAGAGTCTATTTTGCTTTTTCAAAAAATAACATTACTCTGAAAACAAACAGGGGAATTATTAAACAATATTTGACAAATAATATTGTTTACTCCTCTTTTCTCAACGTATTAGTTGGAAAAGATGTAAAAATCCTCCCATTATAAGAGCATATGTGCAGTTGCTGTAAATCTCCAGCAGATGGCAGACTCACCCTTTTTTCAGATAATTTTATTCATTGTCGTTTTGGCTTATTCCCTTTATTAATCAGGGGTCGCCACAGCGGAATGAACCGCCAACTTATCCAGCAAATGTTTTACGCAGAGAATGTCCTTACAGCTGCAACCCAACACTGGGAAACATTCACACACACTCCTTCACACACATAATTTAGCTTACCCAATTCACCTAGTGCATGTCTCTGGACTGAAACCGGAGCCCCCAGAGGAATCCCATGCGAACACGGGAAGAACATGCAAACTCCACACAGAAATGCCAACTTACTCAGCTAGGGCTCGAACCACCGAGCTTCTTTTTGTGAGGCGATCGTGCCACCCGCTTCCTGTTAATTTGAATTAATAATAAAAAAACAGACATCCTACAAAGAGAAGGATTCTTTGTTTTATTTCAAATCTACAAGAGGGTTATTCGCAAATTATTTAGAATATTATTAGCTAAAATACAGGTCCATTCTCAGCTACATACAGCTTAATAAAAAATATATAAAGGCATGCTAGTTACAGGTATTCTACAGTAAGAGTAGTTATTTACACGGCGCTGAATTGTCCTGTCCTAGAACACAACTTCATTGTTTCACATACAGATGAGCTACACAGGACATCCAAACATCAAATCCTCACTCGCAAAAGAAGCAGTGCATTTGAAAAAAGAAAAAGAAAACAGCCAAACGTCAGCATTTCAGATTCTGGTGTGCTTTAAACTTAAATACAAAATAAAAGTCAGTAGTTGCGAAGACGAGATCTCTTTGTAAAGGACACTTTTAAATGAGTTTCAAAAAAATAGTTTGAATAAATGATTATTTCCGGGTTTGTGTTCACAATAAACACTTCACAGTTTAACCGAGACAATATTCACTGTTGTTAACAGCACATACTGCGATACTGACCCAAATTCAAAGCATATTCTTACTATTAAAAAAAATATGACATTTTCTGATGTACTTATTGAAATGTTTGCTGCTCATTTTGTTCCCGCACAAAACAAAAATAAAAAACACACACCACCAAAAGTGGCCTGCTGCATCCAGTGTGAACAAAACCATCCGGATGTGATTTCAATCCAGCACTGCTCTCATAAACATCTAGTTTTCAAAAAAAATCCGCACAGCTTTAATACAAAAATAACTAGATCAGCTGAGGGATTTCAGAGATGCTCGAAAGAGCTTTGATTTAAACGAACAATACAAAATTATGGCTTATCGGGTCAGTGGTTTTGAAAAATAAGAGCTTTTGTGGGAATGCAGCAAGCATCTTTTGAGGCAGTTCTTGTGTCCGCAGATAAAGGATCTGAATTAGAACACACAAAACTCAAAAGACACCTCTTTTACTGCCCTTTCATTCATAAGACTTCGCTATGCCATGTACAGCACGTACACACACATACAAAACAGACAAAATATTGCCCAATGATTCTCATGAACTATAGCTGAATTAGACATTTTACACAAAATGAAGCAAAATGAGCTCATTATTAATAACCCATCCTTTATCCAGTTTCTAGTCCAGTTTGCTTGAATTTTATTCAGTATATACGTTAAAGGGATAGTTCACCTAAAAATGACATTTATTTTTGATTTTCTCATCTTCAGGACACAGTTGAAGACATAATGATTCACCCTCCTGTGAATTTGTACTTTTGTTTAGCAGAGAGGTTATTAATCAACATAATAGTTTAAATAAGTAATTGCTTGTGACTAATTTCTGTAGTCTTTGCTATAGTTGTTTTGCAAGATACGGGTATTCTTAATCAAGATCAGTTTGCAACATCAAGCAGCAGAACAATCTGTTTTTAACATCTAAAAATTAATGGAAGTGAATAAGAACAGAAGTCTCAAGCCAAAAAGATTCAAATGGATGTGCCTGGTGAATAAGGTGAAAAGGAAATAATGTTAAAATATCTTTGCTTTGTTGAATAGCACTTGGGAAATATTTGTAACAGTATAACATTTTCACAGGAGGGCTAAAAAGTTTGTCTATACATGTACCTATGACTTTTTTTAAAATTATTATTATTATTATTATTATTATTATTATTATTGTTGTTGTTGTTATTATTATTATTCATTAGAAAATTAAACCCTTTTTTTGAATCCTGAAACTGTGGTCCTTGGTTATTCATAAAATGCTGAGAAACTGGTATAAGATACTGGCATTTTAAAGAGTATACATGTGTTTTAAATTAATACATGTGAGTAAAAGGTAATAATGTTATAAATAATGTTCAGTTTCTTGCACAGGTCGATTGTTTTGCTTCTCAATGTTTAGTCAGGAGTTATGGTATTAATTTCGTTATGCCTGTATATTTAGCTTTTGACTTGCATTTTGTTTATCACCAATGACTGGCTTCAAATCTTTTCTAATATTCATAATATTCATCTTGATTGCTCTGAGGATGAGTAAATCACCAGCACATGTTCATATTTGGGTGAACTGTCCCTTTAAACTTGATGAATATCATCTGTTATTCCAGACTGAACAGAAAAACACACACAACACTTTCATACCTCCATTCATCCGGTGCAGTTTCTCTATTGCACCTATTCAGTATCTACAACCTGAAACTGCGGTCCAGTTCTTTACAGTTCACTCAATCTGTAGATCTAAAAAAAAAAAAGCTTTAACAGTCCTTTCAATCATATTATGACACCACAAAGGTCTCATATGCAATCGGAAGCACTCCACTGGGACGTATTATAAGACACTGCTATTGAATTTTGACTTGATCTGCTATCATTTAACAGACATAAACAAATGTTTAACAGCAGCTTCAGTTAATCACGATTGTCAGTTTACAGCTTAAAGTACTTTTAGTATCAAACTTTGAAATTTGAGCTGGCATTTATAATTAATGTTCAGAAAAATACTTTTTAGAAGCTTATACTTATGAGCTGGCCTGCAAAGATCTCTAGAATATTAGGTGTGCAGTCATTTGTTTTTTGAATTTATGAACTGTTTAAAAAGCTGCTTCTTTATTTTTCTTGTACAAGTTTACTGCTTTATATCTTATTTATCATATGAATGATTGAAAATGAACATTAAGCTCAGGAAAACAGCATTGATAAGAAAATAAAACTATCTAATGTCTGGCAATTGTATAATTATTATGATAAACGAAATCTTTTGGTTTGAGTGGTTCTAACAAAACACTGTACAGTATATAACCGTTCATAGGTTTGGGTTTAGTAAGACTTTTTTGTTAGCAAATTGATCAAAAGTTAAACACGTGATGCTAAATCTTTCTTTTTTTTTTTTTAAAGGGGACCTATTACGCCCTATTTTACAAGATGTAAAATAAGTCTGATGTCCCTAGAGTGTGTATGTGAAGTTTCAGCTCAAAATACCTCACAAATCATGTTTTTAACTCTTTGAAACTGACCCTTTTAGGCTTTGATCCTAATTGTGCCATTTTGGTGACTGTCACTTTAAATTCAAATGAGATTGTGGCCCTAGTCCACTTTTAAAAAGAGGGCAGATCTATAAATGCCAATCTATCAGAATAGTAGCAGAGTCAAAAACAAGACTAACATATTATGCAAATAAGGCAGAGATCATCACTAATGGGTGGGACATGCCCCCTCTGGTGACACGTACAAAGGGAGAATGTCAATCAAAGTGTTTCTGCAGACTGTATTATCAAGTGTGATAATAAAAATGTAATTATTCAATTTGTACCATTAGATGCTGATGTCCTCATGAGTGCGTATGTGAAGTTTTTGCTCAAAATACCCCACAAATAATGTTTTTAACTCTTTGAAACTGACCCTTTTAGGCTCTGATACGAATTGTGTCATTTTAGGGACTGTCACTTTAAATTCATATGAGATTGTGTCTTCTCAAAAGAAGGTGGAGCTATAAATGCCTATGTGTCAGAATAGTGGCAGATTCAAAACAAGAATAATGTCCAGTGCTAATAAGGGAGAGATCGCTAATAGTAGGCAGTACTTTCCCTGTCTGATGACACGTACAAAGGCAGAATGTCAATCAAAGTGTTTCTGCAGACTGTTTTTATAACGTGCGATTCTAAACAAAACTAAATTAACCAATTTGTACCAGTAGAAGCTGCCTTATATTCACAGACTGTTGCCACACAACTGTGTTAAAACTTATATAAAAGTGATTTTTGCATAACAGTTCCCCTTTAAATCCTGTTTTACTAAACCTTCATGCCATTTTTTAGATCACACGGATCCCCAAAACAATCATCCTTGTGTTTTACTTTTTAATTAAGTTTTTTTTTTAAATATATAATATTACATAATATTAGCATTTCATTCTATTTTGACCAATCAATGCTACATTTAATTATTCACTTTTTATTATTATTATTTTATTATTTTTTTATTAGTATTTATTATTTTTATTTTTTGTTATTTTATTTGTCATTACATTATTATTATTTTAAATCTCACAACTCAAACCTTTGAACGGTACTGTAAAGGCTCAATGAAAAATCATTTAATAATAACATGGAACGGTCTTGTGCTAAAGTGAGAAAGCTTTCAGGAGTGGAAACTAAGGTTGTAATCTTGCAGTGTCTCCATTTAGCTGTGTGCTTTTATTCCAATATAAGGAATGAGAAACGAATCCATTAAGCTGCCTCTTATGAATACTTGGATGGTATGCACATAAATAGAGCTACGATTTAGCTTTTACTAATTGTGAGTCCGGGATATATATTAAACCTGGTGTTGTAGGTAACAGGTGTGAAATATCTGGAATGAATGAACGCCATAGGCTGAGAGAAGCTGGCAGTAGAAGTGAAGTTGCCCAGATCTGAGACTGTGGTCATTTTCACAGATTAGTTGGTTTGCTGGAGGCTCTGCCGCTCACTGGCATGGAGCTACAAAGGGCCTTTGAACTGGTTTCCAGAAAGATGTTGGCGGATGGAGGGCTTGGTTCCTGCTGCATCGCCCAGTTTACGCCACACCACCTGAAAACACACACACAAAACAACAACACACAGGTCAGATCCTTCTTCACTTTTAATCTTGAACAATTACAAATGTCTAAAAGCTATTGCTTCTGTGCTCCTGTTTTGAAATAAATGAATGGCAAGTTGTGCATGAAGGTAAATAATTCATTTATTTATTCAGTGTTTACTTTTAAACATTATTTTATTGTATTCTATGCAATTAAATTGAATACAATTTTTTTCTACATTCAAATTAGTCAAGATACTGATAATAAAATGAAATTAAATAAATCTGTAACGCTCACCAGCGATCTAGGGACTGTACATCACTGGTAAACTACACACACAAAAACACACACCAAAAGAACTACAACTACCAGAATGCCTTGCACTTATCTCTCCAGTCCTAGCTGATGGTCATTTGGACACACATACACTCACAGCTGCGGGTCATTCCCACTCATTACCAGGACTATATACTTCAGTTAATGTTCCCTTCTCATGGTCTGTTTTTTTTTTTTTTTTTTTTTTTTTTACTCCCATGATGCTTGTGTGCTTCTTGTATCTGTTTAGCCTTTTCTTAGTTTTTGTTTTGTTTTGTTATAATAGGTCAGTAAATGTGTTTAAATGCTGAGTTTGGATCAACACTTTTTTGTTTTTACTCTGCACTACACACCAGACTGTAACAGAATAACAGACCACGAGAAGTGTGTGTGTGTATGTGTGTGTGTGTGTATGTGTGTGTGTGTGTGTGTGTGTGTGTGTGTGTGTGTGTGTGTGTGTGTGTGTGTGGGACTCAGCTGGGACTGGGGAGGTTAATGCATAGCATTCTGGAAAGTGAAGCTCTTTTGGTGTGTGTGTAGTTCACCAGCAATCTAGATCACTGGTGATCAATACTAAATCAAAGTCTAAAATATAATTTCATTTACTTAGTGTTTACTTTTAAACTTTTTTTTTTATTTCTAATTGTATTTTTATTCTATTTAATTAAATTACACATTCAGATTTTTTCCTCTACGTTCAAAATGGTCAGATACTGAAAATGAAATAATGTCAAATTAAATAAATAAATGTCAAAAATATGAAATAATATGAATAATTTATTTATTCAGTGTTCACCTTTAAACTGCTTTTTATTTTTATTTTATTTAATTAAATTAAATACTCTACATTAAAGTGGTCAGATACTGAAAATAAAATAAAATAAAACATTTTATACACTACATTACAATGCAGTACAACTCAATCCAATTATAAGCAAAGTTACATTTTTAAGTGTCACTATTTTGTTTTATAAGGCCCAAAAATTCTAAATTATTTTTAATTGTAAGAATTTTAAAATATTGGAATACATATTTGTTTGTAAAGATATCTATTATAAGAGTGTAAAGATATATAGCCTTATTCCAAAATGAATTAAACTAATTTATTTCCTCAAAATTCTACACATAATACCCCATAATGAAAATGTGAAGGAAATATTTTTTTAAATCGTTGCAAATTTATTCAAAATAAAAAACCTGAAAAATCACATGTACATAAGTATTCACAGCCTGTGCCATAAAGCATTATGAAAGCCACTCCCCGCCTGGAATTGGCTAAAAGTCATCTGAAGGACTCAAGAATCGAAATGTACAGCAATGTACAGAGACATCCTAAATGAAAACCTGCTTCAGAGTGCTCTTGACCTCAGACTGGGGAGACGGTTCATATTCCAGCAAGACAATATCGCAAAGCACACCGCCAAATATCAATGGAGTGGCTTCACAACAACTTGGTGAATGTCCCTGACTGGCCCAGCCAGAGACCAGACCTAAATCCCATTGAACATCTCTGAAGAGATTTGAAAATGGCTCTACACCATCGCTTCCCATCCAACTTGATAAAGCTTGAGAGGGACTGCAAAGAGGACTGGGCAAAAATTCCCAGACACATGTGCCAAGCTAGTGGCATCATATTCAAAAAGACTTGAGGCAAGTAGTGCTGAGCAAAGGCTGTGAATACTTATGTACATGTGATTTTTCAGGTTTTAAATTTTTTATAATTTTGCAACTATTTCAAAAACTCTTTTTTTCACATTGTCATCATGGGGTATTGTGTGCAGAATTTTGAGGAAATAAATTAATTTAATTCATTTTGAAATAAGGCTGTAACATAAAAAATGTGAATATATATATATATATATATATATATATATATATATATATATATATATATATATATATATATATATATATATATATATATATATTACAATTTAGTGAATATGAATAAATATATAATATATATACTATATAATAGATAATAATATATATTATAAGGCCTACAAAAAGATAAAAAGCGAGATTTTGGCAAATGTATTATTATTTTATTAATATCAAAATTATTTATTTTCTTTTTACAAATTTTACAGACTAAGGAAAAAACTTACATAAGGCAAATATGTATAATATCAGAATATATAGTATGTCAAAATGCAAATGATAATATTTTTTATAATAATGATTATGTATTTAATAGACTAGAAGTTCAGGACAAGCCTCAAAAATATATATTTACATTATATATATATATATATATATATATATATATATATATATATATATATATATATATATATATATATATATATATATATATATTTATAAAGCTAAGGACAAGGCCAAAAGAGTTAAAAATATAGTTATTATTATTAATATTTTTTTATAAAATATATATTTAAAAGGTTTCTGATGCGACTGTAGACTGAATTTGATGATAAAAGAAAGCAGCTCTTGTGTACTGTCAGAGATTTGCTTTGACAGGAACACAGCACAGGTCCCAGACTCCAGGGGCCCTTCAGAGAGCTGATAAACCTGCATTGTTTCACTGATCAAGTTATTTTAATTGCACAGACAACTGTGCAGTAAACACTCTGAGGACTTTTGCCAAGGCCTCTCATTAAAGTGGTCTGAAAGTGGGTCTCTGTTGTGAAACATTGAAACAGTGTCCTCCATCAGAGCTTGTGTAATTATCCAGAGTGACAGGACAACAAACGCTCAGCTTCTCTCTCTGCTCAACAGGGCTTTATTAATGGACCACGGAGACTCACGTTACACATCTCTCTGACAATGGCTTTCTCTTTCTCGCTCAGATCCTCCTCATAGTCCTCTGGGATCTTCCTGTCCAGGTTCTCATGCACTTCTAATACCTACAGAGCAAACCAACACAGTTACATGATTAGCAATGCTCGCTAAAGCTTCATTATTAATGAAATATAAGATATCAAAAACCTAATACTGAGTATTTACACTGTGTAACTCTTTTGATAACATCTGTATGAATATTATCAGTGAAAAACAAACAATGAAAAAACAGACAAGACAACTAAAGAGTTGCTATTTTTAGCTAAAACTAGAAATATACATTAGTGTCCATAATGAAAAACAAGCTTCTAAGGAATAACAGCAATGAAAACAAATCCATATTTTGGCATTTTATAAATTTATTAAAGAGGATTTTAGTTTCCACAAAAAAATAAAAATAAATAAATCAGCCTAATTTACTTTTAAAATGAAAATAATTTAAATAAAAAAATAAAAGCTTCAAAATATGAATAGAAATTCACTCATATATAAATAATAATTTGCATAGACAAGTACCATTCCTTTTTTTTTAAAATAAAAATAATACTCCTAAATCCTTTAGTTGACCAAAAAGTCCTCTAGGTGGCAGTATTAGTATAATGTAATGGGTCCAACACCAACAATATATTCTGGGAATCAATTGAGACAGCTCTACCATGTTGTATTCAGTATAGTGGCTGCGAAACTAGACTTTTAAAAGTTGTTTCTAACTTGTTATTGACTAATGATAAGACATAATAAAAAATACAATCTAAACATGTGGGAACAGTTATCATAATATGACTTTATTTAGCATCATTAGCATCAGCATCTTACTTTCATGGCATGTACAACAGCCTCAGGTTTCTGTGCTGCAGGCAGGTATCCTGTTACGGTGGGCGCCAGATCACCTCCAGCAATCCGTATAGACCCCTAGAGATAAATAGACATTTATTTATTAGGGATGTCAATTTACACAAATTCCCATGATCAATCATTCTTAAAATAAATGGTAAATTAACAATCAAATAATTTACTAATCATTACATTAATAATGTAAGATGAGTGTGCATTACAGTGCAAATGACCCTCAAAATGCAAAAATCCTTGCCCAAAAAGTGACTATAAATACTGCTTTACAAATTTACAGTGCCTTATTTCAATATACAAGTAGTGTATATTTAAATACCGTCCTACTTGAATATTGAAATAAGGCTCTGTACGTTTGTAATACAATATTTATGCAACAGTGTATATTGAAATAAGGCAGTATAAAAACATATTAAAATGAATATGAGGTGTTATGATTAAAATGCAACAATAAGCATCAATGTGAGAAAATATTGTTTAGTCACTACAAGTGTGTTATTTTCTTCCAAAATGTGAAGATATTGTGCTTATTAAGGGGATAGTTCACCCAAAAATAAATATAAATTCTGTCACCACTGACTCTGTTCACCCTTCACTTGTTCCAAACCTCAGTGTAAAAATGTTGGCCACGAATTGTGTTGTTTCAGCGTATTATAAATAAGTAGTTTGAACAAACAGCAAACATAATTTGAGTACTGTGTGACTTTTTTGCTTCTGTTGAACATGAAAGAAGTTATTTTAAACCTAGATAAACCTGTAACCATTAGCTACATTTCCATCCACCTAATGTATGTGTGTTTTGGTTATGCGCATAAAAAACAGTAGATGGAAACACCAACATGTGCATCAATTTTGAAAATGCGCATTAAAAGCATGCGAATATAACTGAGTAGGATAACCTTTTTATTTGATAAGGAAAGATCCACATAAACAATGATGGAAACACTTTTACAGAACAAATTCCACAATGTGCACATAAAAAAAATCATGTGATTTTGTTATAAGAGATCATGAGATGATAAAAATGTGTGTGAATGGACAGACCAGCAGGCTGAGCAAACTGTAAAACATCTGAAATGTTGTTTTGGTCATTGTAAAACACCTTAACCATTTCAGAATTAGTGTTATTATATTATTAATCACCTCCAGAACTGTCGAGAGAGTCTGTGCTCCTATAAGACATAAAGGTTTGGAACCGTTTGAGGGTAAATATATAGTACTTATGCATACAAAAACTATACGCAACCACTCCCAAAATTAAAATAAATTAATATGTAACTTAAAAAATTCTAGTGTAAAAACAACAACAGCAACAACAACAACAAAAGTCCATATTGTCATTAAACAGTTTAATAATACTCAATGCGTTTTTGGAAATCCAGTATATCATGCATCTCTATTGACAGTCAATAATAAATTTGTTGACACGGTGGCTCAGTGGTTAGCACTGTCGCCTAACAGCAAGAAGTTCCCTGGTTCGAGTTTTAGCTGAACCACTTGGCATTTCTGTGTGGAGTTTGCATGTTCTTCTTGTGTTGGTGTGGGTTTCCTCCGGGTGCTCAGGTTAAGCCCACAGTCTAAAGACATGCGCTATAGGTGTATTACATAAGTTTAATTGGCCGTAGTGTATGAGTGTGGGTAAATGTGAGAGTGTATGGGTGTTTTCCTGTACTGGGTCGCAGCTGGAAGGGTATTCGCTGTGTAAAACATATGCTGGATAAGTTGGCGGTTCATTCCACTGTGGCGACCCCTGATGGATAAAGAGATTGAGGCTAAGGAAAATCAATGAATGAATGATTTATATACAGTAGATTATTGATAATTAAGTAATCATCGATGATACGTTGTCATCCCTATATATTTATTCACAACACACAAAATCTCTCTCGGTTTACCAGCAAGCATGCACAACACTGAAAAAGCCCGTAGCCGTTTCTCTGAGTCAACTGGAAATGGGTTAAAGCATCTCATTATAACTCATCTCTGCTCGTACCCCTTCATGGCTCCACATCAACAAAGAGCTCTTTCAGCACACACGGGGTCCAGTGAGCCCCTGTTTAGACACAGCCCTTTGAGTCCCATTCTAGCGTTAAATCCACAACAATTGAGCTGGCATTTCAGCACTGGGGTCGAGAGAGGAGCCCTGGATGGAAACGGCAGCTCGCTTTTGGCCTGCTTGAGCAGGATTGTGCTGCTCACTTTCAGCTGCCAGCAGGTTTATTGAGGACTTTACCCTGGACTGACCCGAGAACATCCAGACCCAGTGGCCGCTGTCAAGCATCGCCCCGCAGCCCGATTAGAGAAGCCCGGGAGTCCCACAATTCATTTTGCATGGATTCGTTTGCTAGTACAAGCTGTGGTCAACTGATATGGATTTTTATACAGGAAATGCCAATGCCTATTTATTTATTTAAGCCCTTTTGGTTGAATTATCTCATTAAATAATGACAAAACTATACTGAATTGAATTATATCAGATTTAATTTGTACATGTGAATTCAAATTCATGTCTAATCAATTGTATACATTATAATGCAATGATTTTAAAGACACCCTTGAGTACTTTTTTAAAACTTTTAACAGATTTGTGTGTGTTGGGCATGATTAAGGACAAAGTTAGCACCTGTCAGCTTTAATTGTGGAGAAAACTGGATCCTTTTGAGCTTTTGTCAGCTAATTTCATCTATAAAAACATTTTTGGGGTGTGATCAAAATCAGCGACGTGTCATGCATCTGCTAGTTGAGTGATGACATGTCGGTTTCTCAATATTATTCATAGCTAAGTTTTTTTTTCCTATGAGAAGACCCTGCTTGTTAGTTATTCATGAGAGCACGTGCTTTCCATAGGCAAGGCAGATCTGCCAAGCTGTGAGACCCAATGACTGGGTGAGACCACGCACGGCATGGGTCGTATGTGTTTGTTTCCATGATCCACAGGGTTTGTTGCATGTTTTTCCCCTAGATGCTGTCAGGGCCGATACAGCAAAGCTGTTGGTTTGCAACAAGCATTTTTGTCCAGAGAGCTGTTCGAGAATTGGAATATGGCGGACTTTGTCTTTTATCAGTTGAGTTTGTTATCATTCAGACACACCGTGCTGCTGTGTTTGCACATGTTTAAATTCCTCCAGATTACCAGCGGGGTTAATGGTTGGAATATACAGGGCAAGAGACCTGCTGCACTGCTATCCACCGTGTCTGCATTCAGACCCAGGGATTGAGAAGGAGAGAAGTCCTCCTCATTTATAGTGTTAAAATAAACATAATTATCTTTATAATGATGTGACAAATAGTGGTTATGTGTACATGAAATTATGAATAACAAATATAGCAGGACATTAAATTATTTACTGTTTATTAACTTTCATTCATTCGTTCATTCATTTTCTTTTCGGCTTAATCCTTTTATTAATCTAGGGTCGCCACAGCGGAATTAACCGCCAATTTATCCAGGATATGTTTTATGCAGCGGATGTCCTTCCAGCTGCAATCCATCTCTGGAAAACATCCATACACACTCATCTGCACCTGGAGGAAACCCAGGGAGAACATGCAAACTCCACACAGAAATGCTAACTGACCCAGCCGAGGCTCGAACCAGCGACCTTCTTGCTGTGCCACTGTGTTGCCCTTTATTAACTTTGTAAGTTATAAAAATCATGGGTCTCCTCACGTATCTAAGTTTGTGACCCCTTACTTTTAGAGACAGACCATTTAGAAACAGGTGATTAATAAATGTAAATTTTTTGGCCTCATACAGCTGTCCCCCCTACTTTTAAGATATCCGCCACATCCCTGCTATCAAGTATTTACATTATAGTGAACTGAAATAGACATATAATGCTGCTGAATGGCCTTCAGATTCATCAGACTATTGATTATTCAAAAATAATCCATTAAGAAGGCATTAACGGAAAATGACTGATCATCCAATTTTGGATGTGGTGCCCAGTTTTTAAAGCTTTGCCATAAGGAATATCTGTGTGACTGGCTGGAGTGTGTACAAGATAAGACTACCACTAGATGCTGCCAAATTAAATCATTAAGATATTGTTTAGGCTTTTCAAATCAGAGACCATTAATGGGATATTCTGAACAGGCATAGTAATGCCTACATAAACACCCACAGCTAATCTTTCATCAGTTTAATCCACAAAATACATTGATCGTAAACAACACTTGGACATCAGAAGCAGGTCACAGCCTGGATTAAACAAATCCATCGATTAGACCACATGCAGACTCTGATGGGGAAAGAGGAGCAGGAAATGTGAATGCTAGTACAAGGGTTATATATACATATTTTTTAAGTTTAGCTTTCTAGCAGAGTGACAAATGTGCAAACATTTGTATTTGTATTTGTATATTGTATTTGTATAAAAACATGTATTTTTCATGAAGATTGATCAATATTTGTAGAAACATTTCTTTGCACAAAGGTTTTTTTTTTATAGTGGAAGCGGGTTCTTTAGACTAGAAAATGTCCTTGACATTCTAAAAATGGTTATTTTAAAGAAAAAGGTATGTGTATTGAACATTTATTTTGATTCCAAATAAACATTTAAACATTTATCACTTCTTTATTTTATTTTTAAATAAATAAAATAATAAAATAATAATAAAATAATAAAATAATTTAAAAATACAAAATTAATATTTACATTAATGAATTTTGAGATTAAAAACTCCCAATACCATGTTTATTTTGTAAAATTTAAAGAAAAAGTCAGAATTTTGAATTTATATCCCACATTTCTGCTACTGTATACAGATGATGTCAAAATTATTAGTCCCATTTGAATTTTTTTTTTTCCCAAATGATGTTTAACAGAGCGAAAAAAAATTTCACAGTATGTCTGATAATATTTTTTCTTCTGGAGAAAGTCTTATGTGTTTTATTATTGCCTAATTACCCTAACCTGCCTAGTTAATCTAATTAACCTAGTTAAGCCTTTAAATGTCACTTTAAGCTGTATAGAAGTGTCTTGAAAAATATGTAGTCAAATATTATTTACTGTCATCATGGCAAAGATAAAATAAATCAGTTATTAGAAATGAGTTATTAAAAGTAATGTATTTAGAAATGTGTTGAAATAATCTTCTCTCTGTTAAACAGAAATTGGGGGAAAAATAAACAGGGGGGCTAATAATTCGGGGGGGGGGGGGGGGGGGGGGGGGGGGGCTAATAATTCTGTCTTCAACTGTATCTTGCACATTTAATCTGCTTGATTTTTTATACATATGACTCAAGCATTTTTAAGCAACTGGAATACAACAAATTTATAATTTACTTAACTAACTAAAAGCATTTTCAATGTACAATAATACAAAATTATCAAATTTGATAGGGAATCAGTCAAAAATAGCTATAGTGGGAGTCTTTAAGTTAATATTTTAAGAACACCCCTAAATACACATACAACCATTATTTTTTCAAATGAATTCAAAACTGATCCCTTAAAGTATTTGTTTTTGAAAAATAATTGAAATTTTAATTTGGAGATTGTAAATGTACCTACAATTCTAAAACCTTATTTAAAAAAATAGCTGGAAATCATTTGAAATTACATGCAATATTCCACTATATTTCCAAATTTGATCACATTCTTGAACAAACATGCATGCAAATCTTGTCCACGGCACATCTTCAATGAAAAAAATGATTTATTATATTTATTAAATTTTTAAGGTGGTTTAAAGTGGTTAAAAACAATTTATATGGGCTGAATTTAAACAAACAAAAAGTTTGTTGAACATAACTAAATTTAATTTGTTTGTAAAAATTCAGCCTATATATTGTTTGCAACCACTTACCTTAAAAAATTTAGTAAATCCAATAAATAATTATTATTAATGAAAGCTCTGTTAAACAACTGTAACAGCACCTCTGAAACTCCTCTGATTAGCTCTCCTCGTGTAACCTCGACCGCATCGCTCCTACAACCTGATTATTGTTTCAACAGCTCGCCGCTGCATTATTCAGTGCCATCTCGTCCCGTGATTAAAGCGAAAGTTCAAAGCCATGCTAATGAAGCCGTGAGCTGGTAGACAGAGATGAGCTGAGATAAAATAAGGCCAGCAGTCTCTGAGGACGAGACCCTCTAATTGATTTCTCCTTGCTGTGGAAACTGTCCCTCATTTTAAAGCGGAGCAGCTGTGCGGTTTCTGCCTGTCATTGCTGATGACTGCGCTGATGAGCTCACGCACAGGTTCATGGATGACCTTTACTGAGGATACGAGCGGAGGGGAATCATGATGATGACAATGATGATTATGATGATAATAATATCTCAGGAGAAAAGACAGACAGAGAAAGAGAGAGAGAGAGAGAGAGAGAGAGAGAGAGAGAGAGAGAGGGTGATAGAATAAAAGAGGGAAGGGATAATAAAAGAACAACTGGATGTGTTTAAAAATCTGCATACTACATTTTGCTTGCTCCCAAATTATCATTTAATTATATAATCATAAGTTCATATATTTTTTAATGCATTATCTGTAATTAATCAGATTAATGTATTATCTCTGCTCTGACTATTAATGCATTATCAACTTCACATTCATAAGCAATTGTGAAGTTTTACATGTTTATGTTACAGCATTTTCATTACATAAAAAACAAGAAATTATTTAAAATATCTAATTACACATTTACACCATCACACATATAATTATACATACAGAAATATATGTATCTACAATATATGATGCAAAAAATAAAATAATAAAAAATATATACACATATATACATGACCAATATCACACAAGTAGCAGTGTGACCAGCACTGGTGAGAGGCGTGCATTAGTGTCCTACCAGTGACGATATACAGCCACATCACACTACTACGAGTTTGATATTGCGTTTATACAACAGTTCCACAGCATAATCGGGTACATAAAAAAGAAAATCAAACACGTCTCAAAATCCTTTTGTAAGGAGAACTACTTTCATCCGCCATTCCTTCACATATCCTGCTGACGTCGGAACAGTTGTGAAACAGTTTCTCATTCACTAATGTCACTTTAGAGCAAGTGTTTGTATGATTCTCTAGCATAATATCTAATATGTGATATATACTAAAATGCCATCAGTCTACAGAGATATCTCCAAGTATTTCTCTGTTGCAATCGGGGATCACAATATTACTTTTGTATAAATACTGCACTACAACATACAAAAGAGAAAGATCGATTTAGAAAACAATTTACCTGATTAATAATGATTTGATCAGCTGTAGTTTGAAATAGGGTATATGCAAAGTATGCTAAAGGACTTTTAATTTATCAGTAACCTGTACAATTATCAAACCTTTGTACAATTCAGAGATGTAGTAACAGTAATAGTCATAATAACATTTTATGTTAGAAATGATCCTTGAAAGAAGGAATGGATGCCCTAAGAGTCTACAGCAGAGATCAAAACACACTCCACGGGAAATGATCTAGGAGAAAAAAAACATCTTTCATGCTTTTACTTTCCTGCATTCTAATATATAAACACTTCTCATCACATTACCAAAAAGAATAACATGTCTAATGAAGAAAATACACTATAGCCTTCAAAAGGTTTTGGGATGAATTTTGTTTATAATATAAAAATATGATCAAATTTAATACAATCCATTTTCCATTTACAAATTTTACATATGTATCAGAATGAGTTTGTTGTTTCTTTTTTAGGTAAATCTATCTTGTTACATCAAATAATGATATAACAAATCATTGTGTTATAAAAGGCATTGAATATGCTTTCAATGTAAAACTTTTGATTAATTTAACACCAAATCTCTGAATCGCAACTACTGTATAAAATCTGTGCAATTTATAAAAGGTAAAACTATTAAAAAAAAGTGTAAACTAAAAAAAGACCTGTAAAATATAATCAAATTAGATTTACATAATTAAAAAATCAATCAATCAATCAATCAATAAACAAAAAACTATTATATAAAAAATACTAAAATAAAATAAAATATTATTAAAATAAAATAAAATGAATTAATGAATAATAAATAAGCATATATATAAAGCATGAAAAAAAAAAAGAAAAAAACAATCATGAAGACCTGTCCCGATCTGGACTTTCCCATGTCACTGAGGCTGATGTATTAATCTGTTGGCTCTGGTCAATTCTCGTCTGCTTCAACAAAGAGCAACCCTGAATCCTACTACCAGCTGGAACTGCGACAGCTAATTGTAGTCAAATCTCCTCTAAATCGGCTCAACATGACAAATCTTTTTAAGCTTGGATGTGCTTTAGGTTTTGGCTCCGATTGTAAAAAATTTGCTGATGTCAGACGGCATATACGTACGTTTTGTAAGGTGTCCTGAAACTGTGAGAGCGAGGAGAGCTGAGACTCCGAGTGATACAGAGAAAGACCTTTCCGGAGCGTCTTCAGGTCTCCTACACTGCCCTGCTGCGGAGAAAAGCAGACATTTGTCAAACACGGATCTTTATTATTATTATTTTTATTATTATTATTAGAGGGATTAACGGCAAAATAAAATTAACAACTAAAAAAAACTATAGTTCACTAGATATACAGTATCAAAGGGAGAACCAAAAAGTGATACAATACAGTACTATGTATGAAAGAATGTAAAAGTACCATTTTCAGTCAAATTCCGTTTTACTCCTGTAAAAATGTGGGATTATTATTTCTTAAAATGTATATTTCTTTAATATTATTACTACTACTTCTGTAAAATGATATAGGCAGGGATTTCTGTCACCATTTCTTCAAATTAAACTGAATTTTTGAGCTTGAGTATGTCTATAATTCATAAAACCAGTCCATTCCTTTTCACAAGCACACAGATTTTATTCTCAAATAGTCGTTTTACAGTTCATAGACATTAGTTCGTTTTACTTTTGTGCCTGAAGATATTCGGTTACATTATAAATGTAGTTGATCGGTTGATTATTATGATTATTTTATTTATTTTCTTATAAATTATTGTTATTGTTAATTTTTATTATTATTATATATTTTTTTCAGTTTTTGTTTGTGTACTTGATGTTAAGTGTTAGTGTTTATTGTGTTAAGCGTGTCATTCTTGTCATATAAATTGCCCCAAGGGGATTAATAAAGCTTTAAACTAAATTTCACAATTTATTTAGCTGTGCAGTGACCTTAATTTATTCACACAAAAAAAACCTGCCAAAATTCCATGGTTTTGAGCAAATCTCATTTTCATGACTAGATTCCACTGCAGAAAACACAGGAGCATAAGAAATGACCAAACATTAACCGCCCAATGCAAGCCTCTATGTGGCAAACATGACTAAATTTGAAATAACAAAGAATGTCTGTATCTGACAAAACAGAAACCATCCAGACAGATTTACTTCCACTTGCTTTCTTCCAGATTTTTGGCATTAGCCGGACAGACGTTGAGGGACCCGCAATGCATTAACACACACTGAGTTTATAAATACAGCTGCTGCCTGACCTCTTCTCACCAACAACACCAAATCTCATCAGATTTACTAGAACAACATCAACAAAACAACGAAAAAAAGATCCAGCAGTCCAAGCACAAAGAAACCACAGTTGGTCTAGCATTCTTCAATTAGTTATAATATAATTTTAATTAAATTCATTTTCTGACTTTGTCATGGACACTCCTTTTCCCTTGTTTGATAATATATTATGGGCCAAAAAATACCCTGTTAAAACAACAGTCATGATTGATAATGGAGCAGAATGTGCTGTCTTCAACATATCTGACTTCAGGATGATAATAAAAGCCTTGCAAAAATGTTTGTGAATGAAAAATGGATAGCGGATGGCACGTGAGATCATTTCCTGAATGGTGATCTGAGAAGAGGATAAAAGGTAAAAGAAAGCAAAACGGAGAGGATAATGTCAGTCACGCTTCATAAATAATGACCCAAGAAATTCAGCCAAAAGGCACCTGTCCGCAAAACTCCTACCGCTGCATATTTGAGTGTCACAGGCCATAAAATACCTTCTAAACAACTGAGGCTGATGAAAAAACGCATCTCATATCTTGATAAAGATATATATTATGATCAGTGTTGGGGGTAAATCGCTTTAAGTAATGCATGTTACGTAATACTATTACTTTTCTAAGTAACGAGTAAAGTAACGGACTACTTTTAAAAATAAGTAATATTATTTGAGTTACTTTTAGAAAAATGTAACGCAAGTTGATTTTTACCTTGCTTAATTGGCTTTTTAAAAAAATATTGTGAAATAAAAATGAGGTTGAATCACACACTCAATAGCCCCTTTCACACATACAGACCTTCCTGGAAAATTACTGCCAATTTTCTGGAAAGGTCTGTATGGGTGAACAGGATCCTTTTGAAAATACAGGTAAATTCGTTCCGGAAAGAGTTGTAACATTACCGGTTATTTGCTGGAATGCTGTGCTGTGTGAACGCAGAAGGAAAATTGCCCGAAGGTGGCGTTCACGTTTAAAACGCGCTGATGTGAGACATGTACTCCAGCCAATCAGAACATTCAGAAGCACTCACATCCGCGCTGTTTATGAAAACAAAAGCCTTTGAGTATTTTTTCAGATACATTTAGCTGCTAGATGTTAGTCAGAAAACGTTTCTATGTACCTTCTAAATGCCAACTGTTTAAATTATTATCAATAAAATGCGTATGATAAACCGCCATTTGTTTACCTTCAAGCTGCTTTGGTTGCTTGACGCGTGTGCACGTGAAGCAACCGGTGAGAACCAGCACACACATGTTATGTACATCTCGACATGCGAAAGTGTTCCTCCATATGTTTTCAATTTCACCGACGTTATTCAGAATACTTATCTATCCAGAGTTTGTAATGTAGTCAAATGTTAACAAAAACAAATGCAGCCGTTTAGAGGTCATTTCTTGTTAATGATATCAGAATTTACCGGTAGTTTGGAATGGATGTTTGAATTGTGTTTTCCGGAAAAATTCCTTAACGTCATTAGCTGTGTGAACAGCACTTTTTCTGAATTTACAGATAAAGTTACCAGTATCACTATGTGAAAGGGGCTAATGAGAGAGCGTGCTGCGAGGGAACAGACAGTCGGCTCTCACTCATCATCATCGGGTCTCTTTTATCATAGCAGATGAGTCAGTGTACTGTTCTAGTCAATCAGGATATTGCTTTATTTCAAGTCAGAGGGGGTACGGTACAGTATGTTTAAAAAGTAAATAATTAAGTATTTAGTGAAGACAACTAAGTTCAATTTAATGAACTGGTTCAACCGTTCCACTTAGAAGATCCGGTTAAAACAAATGATTCCCAAATCGTCCATCAAACAGGAAGTAAGAAACAATGGCACGCCAGAGTATACTATACATTTTTGCATAGGATTCTTGTTATTTTGAACTCATGGAAGAAAATAAGTGGATTGTTGCTAAGTGTAGATTATTTGAAAGTAAACCTCTTTACAACTGCAAGAAAGACGACAGAAAAAAAAAAAAACACAAAAAACAAAAACAAAACTTGATGCAAAGCACTACACCCGCACCCACCTTCAGCTAAACAACAAATGATTGACATCAGTTCACATTCATTCATTCATTCATTCATTTTCTTTTCAGCGTAGTCCCTTTATTAATCTGGGGTTACCACAGCGGAACGAACTGCCAACTTATCCAGCACATGTTTCACGCAGCGGGTGCTCTTCCAACTGCAACCCATCACTGGGAAACATCCACACACACTCATTCACACTCATACACGACGGACAATTTAGCCGACCCATTTCACCTAGACCACATGTGGGGTAAATCGGAGCACCTGGAGGAAATCCACGCAAACGCAGGGAGAACATGCAAACTCCACACAGAAATGCCTACTGACCTTGCCGAGACTTGAACCAGCGACCTTCTTGCTGTGAGGCGACAGCACTACCTACAGTATGGTGCCACCACATTACATCACACCACGCAAACATAACAAAAATAAAGAGTAATATATTGCATTACTTTCTATTAAAAGAAAAATATATAAATATAAAACACTAAAAACTAATGATTTCAGGTCAAATATTAAGTTAATATTCAAATAGATATAACTAATATTGATATAAATAAAATGCAAAATGTAAAGATTGTACTTTCAAGATTACAACTTTCTTACAATGCTTTTATTCATGTTCCTGTCTGCATCCTCATAATGGCATGTAATATTTATGATACTGTAAATTATAAAAAGTATTACAGTAAACAATATATTTTGTGAAATAAATCTTAATATAAAACAATAGACTTTTTATTTGGTCCATACGATATTTTTTGTCATATTGCACAGTCTGGAGCTTCATAAAAGGGCATAATCTTCTATTCTAAAATAGAAACAAAACATGTAAATGTCTTAACACAATGAGGAATAAATCTATTTCCTCTGTAGTGAAAGTATCTGTGTGTGTGATTATCCCCATTTTGGCCTTTCCGTTGATGACTGGTGTGTGCAAACAGCTCACTAAGGGATTACAGGAGCTTAATAGAGGTTATGAACTTTCTCAGGAAAAAAGTGTGTTCTTTCAAAAGCTTCCGTCTGTCTGTGTGTGAAGGTTGTGCAATTGGATTAATGCACAGAAACTTTTCATTTTCAGTAAGCCAGCTCAAGCGCTTCCAGTCAACTGGCATACTATTACAAAATCACCATGTTTAAAATCTAGTTTATTTAAAAATCAATGATCTGCTTGATTGATATACGATATAGTGGGTCTCAAGAAGCACTGCATTAAATTAAATCATTCCTCATCATGACTTTAAGATATGGAAATGTATTTTACCACAGTATTTCAGTGAAGTTTATGTGCTTGCCTGCTGCTACTGATGGTGCTTGTGTTTAAACAGCCTTTCATACACTTGGACAACAAAATAAATGCTTAAGGCCATTTAACAGCTTATATTTTCATTAAATAAGACTGCCAATGCTGTAAAAAGAAACTTAAGACACTGCAGATAGTCACATTAACCTTTTACTGGAAGTTTATTACATGTGAATGTGATAAACCCATGTCATGTCACTGTCTCTGCTACAACCTTGTTAGTACTCTCATATTATAGGAATAATATGATGACTATAGTAATACAATGTTTTGTGCATGTGTGTTTATAAAGAACATAGCAGCTTATTCAACTATAGAATAAAAAACAATAGCAAAAATCTAAATTTTACTTTATAATTGTATGATTTTTGAAAAAAAAAGTAATAATTTTGAAATGAAAACTACTGTAAGTTTTGAATCTAAAAAGATAGTTGTTGTATTTTGAGAGGGAAAAAGTAGAATGTAAACTCAAACACTAATTTAAAAACTTAACTGTAAAGATGTGAACTGTAAAAAAAAGCATAAAAATGTAAAAAAGAAAAGCAAAATGTAAATATTCTGAGAAAAAAAGAGTAAATGTATAATGGTATTTCTGAGGATGTTATAGTTACTCAAATATCTTTGCTTGTGTAGAATTGTAAAATGTAAACTCAGAATTCAGAGAAAAACAATATTTTTCAAATTTTGAGATTGAATTCAGAATACTGGGGAAAATTCAACTCTGAGAAAAATGTAAAAAGAGAAAAATGTAAACTTCCAATTTGGAGTTGGAGTAAATTGTAAATGTATTAATTTTTTTTTTTTCTGTAAAAGAAACCAGATTCTATTTAAGAAACCATTTCACCTCTTTTATAAATAAAAGTTATATCGAAATGAAATGGCTCAGTCAAAAAATAAAAGTGCAATGAAATCCTTCCTGCTCACGATGTTTTAGCAAGCATGCATAATTGAACACAGGTTTGACCCCATGAACGAGATCTACGGCACGACCTGATGACCCCGCAGGTAACAACATTCTTTTCCTTTTAAGCCCTAAATTACACAGCTGAATGCTGCTTACTATCTGCTTTACTACCTGATTGTGAAATACAATGACAGAGTTATAGCAAAATGATTGTTTTAAAAACCCCTTCAGCTTAAAAACAAGCAATAAAACATTCCAATGCCTTTGACTGACCATTCTTGAAGTTTCCAAACACAATATATACAAAACTTGCATATCCTAAAATATCTTCGCTGAACTGAGTTATCTATGAAGGCAATAAAAAGAAAGCAAGGCTCCATCCATCATCAGAAAAAGAAAAAATCTGAAGTACTAGTATTGGAATATCAGAGATGAGCGTATGCAATTAAACTGACAGAGACTATAGTCACCTGTGCTGTTTATTATATTGAGATGGATGTGCGCTCGCTGCCTTTAAATTGGGGCTCAGACAACAAGAGATGAAGACTGTCTGAAAATGAAAATTGTTAGTGACAGATCTGTATCTTTGTCTCATATAACAGTCGGAGCTCTAGGGTCTATTCTTCACAGCTCTGACATTGTCATAATATGAAATCAGAGACTCATTTCGGCATCTAAGACTTGGAGCAGTGGGATGAATTAGTGCAGGAGGAATGCAATTAAAATGTGGCATCTTTACTAATTGGTGATAAGCAAAAGGGATGATCACCAGAGGAGTGAAAGTCATCTGGCTAATTTGTAAAATATATAATGGATTGTTTACTGTATATATCTTGTATTACAATATTACAATATACAACATAAACACATACAATTGCAAACTGCTTGGGCCCAAGCTGACTATCTGCTCACCAACCAACCTTTAATTTTCATTTTCAGTAAATTGACGATCACATGCTGTGTAAGCTAACAACATTTTTAAACATTACTTCATAAAAATCCGTAAGGAGGCTATATGTAAGAATTTACATGTGTTAAAGAGGGTTTCACTCAAAAATAACCTTTAGTTTCTTTCTTTGTGTTGTTGTTGAGCACAAAAGAAGAATGCTGAAAACCTGTAACGATTGGCATTCATAGTAGGAAAAACTAATTCTGTTCTATGGAAGTCAATGGTTGCAGATTTTAAACATTTTTCTCAATAGCCTTTTTTGTTGTTGCTGAACAGAAAAGAAGATATTCTGAAGAATGCAGGAAACCTGTAACCTTTGCTATCCATAGTAGGAAAACAAATACTGTTCTGGAGAAGTCAATGGTTACAGATTTTTAACATTTTTTCTAAATATGCTTTTTTGTTGTTGAACACAAGTTAAGATATTCCTAAGAATATTGGAAGACCTGCGACCATTGGTATTCATGGAAAACAAACACTGTTCTGGAGAAGTCAATGGGTAAAGGTTTTCAACATTTTTCTAAATATCTTTTTTGTTGTTGTTGAGCACAAGTTAAGATATTCCGAAGAATGTTGGAAAACCTGCAACCATTGGCATCCATAGAAAACAAACACTGTTCTGTGGAAGTCAATGGTTACAGGTTTTCAACATTTTTCTAAATATATTTTTTGCTGTTGTTGAACACAAGTTAAGATATTCCAAAGAATGTTGGGAGACATGTAACCATTGGTATCCATAGAAAACAAACACTGTTCTGGAGAAGTCAATGTTTACAGGTTTTCAACATTTTTCTGAATATCTTTTTTGTTGCTGAACAGAAAAGAAGATATTCTGGACAATGCTGGAAACCTGTAAACATTGATATCCATAGTAGGAAAAACAAAAATTGTTCTGTGGAAGTCCATTGTTACACGTTTTCTACATTTTTCTAAATATATATTTTTTGTTGTCGTTAAACACAAATGAAGATATTCTGAACAATGTTGGAGACCTGTAATCATTGATATCCAAAGGTTTTAAAAATATCGTATTTTGTGTTCAACAAAAGACATATACTCAACCAAGTTTAGAACAGGTGAGTAAAAGGTGAATAAATTTGTATAGTTAGGTGAACTATCCCTTTAATTGCTTTATGAAACTTCCGATGTTGTTTATGCAAGCTTGTGGACAGATTTTTACATTTAATAATTTTACATTTAAATTTATTAAAAAGATGTGGAACACCAAACCCAAATCTTAATACTGCAAATAGTGTGGTATTTATTTTACTGTATACTTTACTCCTATTATTACAATTATTCTTTTATTATGTGTTTAACAGCAGATGCACATTGCTACTTTCCACCTTGACCTGTTGATTAATATTGTCTATATGCAAATTACTTCATTCTGATTGGGCTGTTGTGAGAGTTTAGACTCTTACCTGAGATAACAATTGCTTGTTGTCATCCTCTAAAATCCGCACTTTGGTCTCCAGTTGGCGGATGTAATTTGATGATGAGTCTGAAAAATCGAAAAAGAAAATGTATTAGAAAAATGGCAGTTTTTAATGTAGATCATTATATAATGCAATTGAAAAAGTTTAGGATAAATAATATTTCTTTCCAAAAAAAAAGTATTTTATATTTACAAAGACTTTATATTTAATTGAATATATATAATAAAGATAGTAATATGTTCTGCTTTACACAGGTAAGTGGGTTTGACAAACCACCCGTAAGATTTACTCTCTTCTCCCCATATGCACCAGACACTTTCTTATTAACATGTTTTCCATATTTTTAAATCATTTTGGATAACACATCTGGTAATTGAATAAATGTAAATATAAAATGTATCAATATTAAATATCATTGCAACTTAAATTAACTTGTTTTAGAGTCAAAGAAACATTATTATAGTTAATGGTTAAAGCAATGAGTTCTGTTTAAAGTTAAACTGCTTAAATGTTTTGATGAATAAAGTTTAAAAAAACACAGCTCGTGTGAAACAACATTCTTGGAAACATTTTTAATTTCCACTCATATGAAATTGCTGAATAAAAGTATTAATTTCTTCCATGTAATACATATCAGAATCTGAACTATAGTATATATTCACTCTTTACACATTCTTTGCAGAGTCAGGATGAACTTCAGTTCTTGTGTGGCCCAACATTTTTCATTCCCTGCTTGTTTTTTCTTCTTCTTTCGGCCTTACTCAAGTTTCTCCAAACACAATTTCTTATGTTATGAAAACCGGTTTACTCTGAAAACTCCCTAAAAGTGATTTGGTCATCCTGCAATCTGAGTCATTTCGAAATCGTGCTGCTTTCTATTAGGCACTGTCATACAATACCACATCCCAGATTGCACCGCAGCTACACAAGTTAAATAGAAGACATCTGTCAAAGCTAAAGAAAGACACTGAAAGATGAACATTTAGCGCAGTTCACATCCGACATGACCACATTATACACATTATACTTATACTTTAAAGAACAAGTTAGACAACAAAGAGATCTCAAATCAGGAAATCTACACTCACTTCAACACACACACACACACACACACACACACACACACACGCACGCACGCACGCACACACACACACACACACACACACACACACACAAACACACACACACACACACACAAGCGGATTTCATTGAAGCCATCTGACGTTTGGCTGGAACATAATCAGATGTCAGAGAAACTGAAGGCAAGGCTAAACAAACTGATTTCACGTCTGTGAAGTAAAAGCCAATAAATCAGGATAAAAGAACAGTCCTGGAGTAATAGTAAAGTAGGATCTGGAAGTGTCTGGGTTTTTTTGTGTATATGCTGCATTCCCAAAATGCCTTTCATGACCTTTTTGGTGATGGAGGCCTGAGGAGATGCCAAAGGAGTGTGTGTGTCTGTGTTGTAATTTTACATCCCTTACACACTCAAAGCCCTTCTAAAAGAGACCAAGAGGTGCTTACACTGAAAAAAGATGATTCATGATTTATTACAATTTTTAAGGTGAATGACTGCAAACAATTTATACAGGCTGAATTGAAACAAATTAAGCTGACCATTAATACATTTGTTTGTTTAAAATCTGCACATATCAATTGTTAGTAACCACTTATATTAAAAGAATTTAGTAAATCCAACAAATCATTTTTTTTCAGTGTAGTTATGTAAACATACACTCTAAACCCAATAAGTTAAGGTAACTCAAACTATTTGAGGAAACCGATTGCAACAAACCATTTAAGTTCAAAAACTAATACTAAAGAGCACTGTGAGCTTAATCCATTTGAGTAAACGAAGCCATAGTAAAGCCCAATAAATGAAGCGAACTCAAACCAATTGAGTACTGTAAAACCCAATAATTCAACGCAAACCGTTTGAGGAAACCGATTGCTACAAACCATTTGAGTTAAAAAAACTAATCTATATGAGTACAGTGAACTTACTCCATTTAATTTGAAGTAATAAAGTAATTAATGAACTCATTACCTTCAACACTGAGTTCAAAACTCTTTTTAAATGAGTAGAATTAACTTTCAGTCAATTTTGGGTTAACTACACTCATTTCATTCGATAAAGTTGACTGTTGGGTTTTACAGTGAACTAAAACATCTAAAATCTAATAATACATATATTTGGTCATTGGATGCAGAAATTGGCCAATCAGAATCAAATTCCATTCCATTTTTGTGTGTGTGTGTGTGTGTGTGTGTGTGTGTGTGTGTGTGTGTGTGTGTGTGTGTGTGTGTGTGTGTGTGTGTGTGTGTGTGTGTGTGTGTGTGTGTGTGTGTGTGTGTGTGTTTGAATTACATGTTGTCAACGATGCATTCTTTCAATATGAACTGAAGACAAGAATGATGAGGGTGATGTGGGTGCCAAGGATTGCATTATCTGAAGGGATTAGCTGTTTGAGAGCATGTAAATAGTCACACATACAAACACACATACATTGTATGGCACTTAGGAATAATGAGGATTGTGGGATTGGACAAGGCAACAGGGGTCTCCTTATTAGGAACCCTATTTAAAAAGATATCCATTAGTAGTAGCTTTCTCCCATTTACTATGGGCATCACATATTGCTGCAGACAAACAATAAAAACATAAAAAAACAGTCGTTACAATAATTATAATGATAATTAAGATAAATGCTTATTATATAAAGCCACTGAAACTGGTACAAAGGATCTCGTATATTGATTCAACCTATGGGGACTACCAGAAGACTACCATCTCCTACCAGAGGGAAGCAGTTGATAATGTGGATAAAAAATCAGTTGGATCATTCAGAATCATTTCTTCCTGATTATGCACACAATTATTTGGATTAAAATATTCATTCTGCCAAACAATTTTCCATCCTGTCCTAACAGGTGCATCAACTTAGATTTACACTGACTGTACAGATAGGTTGCCAAACCACACTGTGATACCACATCATACCATACCATACATACAAAACAACATCATAAGCTTCTTGTTAACTCCAAAAAGACATAACCTCAGAAACTATTTTACTTTAATATAACATGTATTATAGGATTTTATGTAAGACCATAATAATGTATTTAAACAACAAACATATTTAAATATCTACAGCCAAAGTCGAATTATTAGCCCCCTTTTAAATCTTTGTTCTTTTAAAAATATTTCCCAACTAATTTCCACAGTATGTCTAATAATATTTTTTTTCTTCTGGGAAAAGTCTTATTTGTTTTATTTCGGCTAGAATAAAAGCAGTTTTTAATTTTTAATAACATTTTAAGGTCAAAACTATTAGCACCTTTAAGCTGTCTTTTTTTTTTCTCGATAGTACAGAACAAACCATCATTATACAATAACTTGCCTAATCACCCTATCCTGCCTAGTTAACCTAATTAACCTAGTTAAGCTTTTAAATGTCACTTTAAGCTTTATAGAAGTATCTTGAAAAATACTTAGTAAAATATTATTCACTGTCATCAAGTTATTAAAATTTAATATGTTTATAAATGTGTTGAAAAAATCTTCTCTCTATTAAACTGAAAATTGGGGAAAAAATAAGCCCCCCGCTAATAATTCTGACTTCAACTGTAAACTGCCATTGAAAAGCTTTGGGTCAGTAAAGTTTTTAAAAGAAGTTGACAGTAAAAAAAATATATATATATATATATATGACAGAAAGTCACAGTAGAAATCCTTATTTCTGTATGTATTCCTGTTTATATGATTAGTACTTTTGTATATGCATGGGACAATAACCATTTTCAAGGTATATTTAAAACTGCCAACTTTTCATATCTTTATATACAGTATATATATATATATATATATATATTAGGAACAATTATATCATTTTAATAGGATGTCATTTCAAATTGTAAAGAAATCTGTGTTCTTAAAACTAATGAAGACAGCAGGAGTCAATTATTGATTTTATTTTTTAGTCTTACATGTTACTGCTCAAAAATATTATAAATGTTTCTCAAAATAAAATATACTGTGTTTAAAGGGGATTTTTTTGTTTTGTTTTTTATTCAGACATTTAAAAAGAATATATTTTAGAGAAGTAATCACAATACTGTCAAAGGATAAGGATGATATTTTATCCAAGGTTATCATACCGTCAGAGTCCGCCCATGTCTACTTGCACACACACACACATACACACACATAATGCATAAATGCATAATGCATAAATGCATAATGAATGTAAGTATATATATAAAATATATATATATATATATATATATATATATATATATATATATATATATAATTCTTCCGTTATTTTTTTGTAATCTGCTTATGAATCATGTACAAAACCATTTACGCTGTAAGTTTGTGTTTTTGTAACTAGTTATTTTTTTGTTATAAGAGTTAAAAGCACTGAAAAAAACTGAATTACTTTACCGACAATTTCAAATGCTGTTTGAACTTTATATTTATAGTAGAACCCAGAAAAGAAATCTATCAAAACTTATACAAAATTAACCAACAGATTTTTTACACTGATTATAGGAATGATAATAATTATTTCTGATTATTGGCTAAAATTCAGCTTACGGTTATATTAAAGTGTAATAATTTATATACTGCTACCGTTTCATGTTTAATCAAATACATTTGGCCCTGGTAAACATAAGAAACGTCTCTTAAAAACATTAATCTTAAAAACCACTGAATGGAAGACATTTTGACACACAATAGTTTGCAATTAGTCACAGATGTTTCTGCCTTAACTATCTCCTCTGATACCCTTTGAAAGACCAGAAAGAGGTTAACAGCATCAGTCAAGGATGAGCCATACAACTCTTTGAAATGAGATGGAAAGGTTCACCCCCGTGCCCTTTACACCCAGACCCAATAAACTATAGCTAATCCTTGTTCTCCAATCAATCAGCTCTTTCCTGCGCCATTTTGTGTTTCCATCACAGTGATCAAAGCCATCTCACCACCAGATGTCACTACAGCCTCTAATTTGCTTACAGTATCTGATGAGCCCTTAATGAGCCCCAAATAAACTGC